ACCTCCAACCTAGTACCATCGTCACCAAGATGGCAGGTGGAAGACTCAAGACTCTGACTTCCGTTGAGGACGCAAGTGAAATCCCAGAAGTGGGGTCTCTTGAATTCGCCTTGCTGGTCTACACAAATAGAATGAAAATTAATATCCTAGTGTCGATGAGAATGCAAAGGGACATATGGGGGTAGGGTAAGAAAGCATGTCTTTGAGCAAAGCAAGAGGTTCCATTAGCAACACAGTCTAAGAAAGGGCAAGAAGAGAAATTAACATCCACTCTGCACTAACTGTGTGCCGTGATTCATGGTTCCATCCTTTGTGGTGGGTGTGCTTATTCCCAGAGAACAGAGATGAAAACCAAGACTCCAAAGCTGAGAAGACTTGCCAAGAGTCACTGGCTCAGCAAGAGGCAGGTTGTACTTGAACTCACAGACCCTCTGTCTCCAAAGTACATGCTCACTCTTTCCAGTTTCTTCCTCACCATGCTCCCCCCAAGTTTACCTCAAGCTTAAAGGAGAAATCTCAAAATCCTTTCTGTAACTGGGACTTCTAAGAAGTCAACTACACTTTTTCTTCCACAGCGAAGAACTACACAAAATACAGAAAATGCAACCCAAATGGAATGCGCTCTGCTGAAAAGGGTACGCAATATCCTTGATGGAGGGCGGGGCGGGGTTTGAGCCCAGGCGCTTAATTAAGAGCCAGGGAGAGTGCGTGAATATTAAGGGAGGGGAAGCTGGCAAGTAGAGCCACCATGGCAGATGGTGAAACAACTGCCAGACGAGACAACGGAAGGGGAATCCTTCAGTTGCTGTTAAGAGCCCTGACAAGACGTTAGCTCTCCACGACACGGTACCAGAAGCAGGGAGCAACCCAGGGTGGGAGAGTGAGACCAAGATGACTGATGGGAGGATCTGACAGATGTGACAAGGATTCATAGCAGGGCCTCAGGACCCACATCCTACAGCAGGAGAGCCTTCTGCTTTCCCTCTTTCATTCATTCACTCCCTCATTCAGCAGGTATTTCTTAAGCACCTACAATGTGCCCGGCATGTTAGGTGTTGCAGATACAACTACAGGCAAAAAAAGAGACCACCTTGCCCTCATGGAGCTCACAGTCTAGCGAGGGAGGCAGAGATTATTCAAGCAATCAATCAGGATGTGACCACCACAAACTGAGGTTAAGTGCGGTCAGTGAAGCAACATAGCTCTACGTATGTAAACAAACATGGATGCTGACCCACCCCAGGAGCCAGGGGAGGTTTCCAGGGTGGAATCGCTGCTCGACAGCCATGAAGGAGGAGTGGAGGCTGACCACTCAATGAGCGCCAGTGAGGAGAGGAACACACGCAGAACAGGGAGACGGGTGTGGGGAAGGGTTCAAGGCAGGCCAGATCAGGGAGGCTTCGCAGGCCTGGAGAGCATGGGCTGCATAAAGGACTTCCTCAGCCCCCTCCAGAAAGAATCCCAAAACACCCCCTATTGCAGGCTCCATCTAGCTGGTTCTTAAGCCACCGTGACTGCACAGAGAATTCCCTGGAGCTTCAGCCTCCCCTGCAGGGTGTTAAGAATTGGTTGGGCGGCCATACTCTTTGTGATGTGGTATCATGCACCCACATGCTGATCATTGGCTCTACGCCCCTCTGTATGCCTGTTATCGCCTTCCACCATTGCTACCTTTTTCCTCATGCGTTCTGGCTCATTCTGTCAGACTCAGCTTGAGCATCACCTCCTCTAAGAAGCCCTCTCCCAACTTCCTTCCCAAGCTGGCTTAGGCACCCCTGCTTATAGCTCCCTCAGTATCTTCTGCGTATTTCCATCATGGTATATGGTATTGTAATTATTTGTCTAAACAGTTCCTGGTACACAGCAGTCACTCAATGAGTCCTGGTTGAGTTAACATATATAACAAGGGACTAATATGCACAATATGTAAAGTGCTCTAAAAAATAAATCAGAAAATACAAAAGACCCCAGTTAGAAAAACAGGCAAAGGATTGAAATAACAATAGATAATACTTATCAGCTGTCCACCATATGCCAGGTAATATTTTAAGGGCTTTCTCTGAATGAATTCACTTATTCTTTACCCCAACCCCAGGAGGTATGATTATATCTGCATTCTGTGAATGAAGAATTTGGCCCAGAGAGGCTAAGCAATTCGCCAGAGGCGACGTGGCCCTTGTCCATCCACCATACTGAATGTCACCTCCTGCTACCCATGGCATGACTACACTCAGGCCACTCCCAGGGAAAGAAACACAACTGGCAGGAACACAAGAAGATGCTCACCCTCGTCTGTAAACTAAAATCAAAACAACAGAGCTCGGAGAAACATGACAAAGATTGGCAATAGCCAGGGTTGGCAAGAGCGTGTGTCTCTGGAGGCCGCCTAACCGTCCTTCAGAGAGAGGATAGTTGATCTGCACACTATAAAACCCTGGGCAGCTAAAAGCGGAAGCAGATCCACACACCTGACACAAATGGAGTTTTACGTGTAAAACAAGATGTTCTCACCACCTCCAGCCTTTACTCAGGAGTCACCTTCGCAGTGAGGCCTTGGGTTCGTGTGTGTGTGTGTGTGTGTGTCTGTGTGTGTCTGTGTGTGTGTCATTTAACCTAAGGCCCAGAGGACAACCACTCAGGACCAGCAATTCCATCTCCCGGAAACACCAAGTCAGCATCTTTGGAACCACTGAAGACATCTCAGAGGAAGGCCTGGGGGTGCTGGCCAGACATTGCCCTAGGACCCAGGGAAAGTTCTGCTGGTTTGAACCTAAATCTCTAAAGGACCTTTTTCCGTTTATAAAACTGGTCACAGACCTCTGAGAGCTTCAGCATCACAGACCTGACACCACACCCCAACTCCTCCCCTCAGCACGCTCGGTCTCAACCTTTCTGAGCCTCAGTTTCCCCATCTAGAAGCAAGGCCAATCCTAGCTAACCTTGTTATTATACTGCTATGTTGTTAACTTGCTAAGTCGAAGAACCACTGAGGGGATTAGATGATATCCGGTCTGTCAGGCACAAAACGTGAGCAGGCTTTGCCTACTGAAGGAGCTCAGCACCACCCTTATCACGATCATTAATGAAGACCGGTCTTCGTATGGGCAGTGGCAGGTGGGGGCAAGCCCAGGGCCTGGGATCCGCCCCAGTGGGGAGGAGCAGCTTTTCACCAACGTCAGCAAACTGATGTTTATTATTGTTTTTGAGACCCTCTGCAGACAATGTACCCCCCTCACTGCTTGCACCTTGGGTGGGGGTGCCTTCCACTCCCCACGCCACCCACTTTGGTGCACCGCTGACGAATGGTGACTTGGAAACAGTTCCTCAGACTTTTTTTGAGGTAGTTGAGAGAGGAAAACAATATCTGAGCAGGCAGGGAAAGTAATTAGTCCATTTCTGAATCCTGACAGTGGTCAAGATTCCATCAGCCTCTTCTGGAGGCCAAAATCAAACCCAGGATTGGGAAACCAACTGGAAGAGTCCATTTCCCCCCTGGACTTGCCACGGGTCAAGCTGACAGTCAGATTTTCCATCACAGTCTGGCACTTTCCACTCAGAGGCAGTGGCCAAGTTGGATGGCCTTCACATTACCACATAAAAGTTTTAAGTTCATTCATTAGCAAAGTCACTTGCTTGCCATGCTTTGCAAGACAAAACATAAGAATCCCTAAGGCTTTTGTTGTTATTGGTTTAGAACATGATCAGCTTTTGGAAAATAAAATGGTTGGTCAAAGTCTGTTGGCTTGGGGGTGGGTGTTTGAAGTGTGTTAAAAGAACAGCTGTGCCCAGGGAAACGGATACCTGCGTTAACAAGAGGCCGCCAAGTGGACACCCTCTCCGGACCTTCTGTGATTCGCCAGACGGCTTGGGGCCACTGCCCATGACACCCGGAGCCCTCTGGAGCCAGCTTCCTCTAGACCACTTCCAGGGACAAGCTGGGCACTCAGAGAAGCAGTGGTGATTCTAGAGGTCATGAACTGGGGTGAAGTTCGGGGCACGGAATGAGAAGTTTCTGGAAAACTCACAATTTTGAGGAAGTATGGAAGGAACTGTAACAAGCCCAGGAGGGGTATTCAGGACTTTTACCACTATATCCTTAAGTGAAACTGGTCTATAATTTTCCTTGCTCCTCCCCTCCCGGTCTGCTTTGGAAATCCAGGTTATACTGGCCTTGTCAAAGGAGTGGAAGTGTTTTCTCTTCTTCTGTTCTCTGCAACCATTTGGATAAGAGAGGGATGATCTGTTCTAGAATATTTGGTAGGCTTGCCTGTAAGACCATCCGGGCCTTGTGTGCCGTCTTCCTGCTTTCTATGGGAGCTTTGTAATGACTGATTTAATAATTTCTTTTCCAGTTATTGCTCTATTCAGGTTTTCTAGTTGTCTTGAGTCCATTTTGTTAAGTTGTGTTTTTTTAGGAAACTGACCATTTTATCCCAGGTTTCAGATTGAATGGCACAGAGTTAGTCACAGTATCTCAGGCTTAGAAGCATTATGTCCTCCACCAATAAGCAATGAGGGTGAGTCCAAGATGTGGCTCCTGCCCCACCAGCACTCCCGGGCCCCCCAATCAGGGCGTATTTTTATCAGTGGTCAGGGCCTAGGAACTGCCCTCTACTGCCCGGAAGCCGGCTGGGCAGTGATCTAGGGGCCAGCTCTGGAGTCGAATTGCTTGGATTTCTCTCCTAGTCCCAACCTGGGCACTTGAAACCTCAGTCTCCTCCTCTGTAAAATGAGTAGAACAAGAGCAGCCACCGCTCAGGACTGCCCTGATGATCATAGAAAGTACTCTGTAAACCCCGAGGCCTCATCCCAGGGAAGTTCCCATCCTCTAAAACTTTCAACTTACAACTTTTCATTTCACAAACTTTCAACTTATACATTCTTATGAATGCAACTCAAGGTCCAGAGCAGAAGCGCGTCAACCCTCCCCAATGCCACCAACTGGTCTTCACCATCACCACCCGTCATTCCGTCTCAACCATCTTGGTGCTTATTAGTCTAGAGAAGTGGTTCTGAAAGTGGGGTCCTGGACCCGTGGCAGTATCTGGGAACTGCCTAGAGATGCAGACTCTCGGGCTCTCCTCCCCACCGACTGCATCAGAAACTCCAGGACTGGCACGGCACACATGCCCTCCAGGGGATTCTGATGCCGGCTCCACGTTTGAGAGTCCAAGGTTCTTGAAAGTCATAACGCATTTCCACGCTCGTGCTTAGTTCTGAAGTGCCTTTAGAACATGGTTACTCCATGACGATCAATAAAGGGAAAAACGATAATCATGTTGAAAGAGTGAGTAGGAAGAGAAAAACATCACAGAAATGAAAGCTGAGATAATTTTAAAAGATCAATGGAGAGAAATTGGTAAATCTTGCCTGTTTGTGTGGGATGACTCATTCAATGATAGGAACAATTCTGGAAACACTGGATCAAGCAAGGTCTGAGAGGCAGTGCCTATGCAACAGACAACAGTCACCAGAACACGAGAAAAATGATTCTCAAAATTCAAAGAAATGTGAACTCGGGGCCACAGAATCTGCATCAACAGTGGAAACTCAGTGGCTTCGTGGAAATCTGCAGAACGCTGGGCATCTAGGTTGTGCTAGGGCTCAGAATGAAACGTGGGCTCCTACTTAGGGATGTTTCCACAGGTTAAAGGCTCATCTGAATGTGTAAAGGATCGATGCTTTGGCCTATTTAGACAAGACAGACCAAGTTCTCCTGGACCAGACCACAAGAGGGATCAGCTAACCCAACAGCTTTTCCATATAGATAAAACTAGTCTGTTTTAGAAAAAACAACATGCCTGGTAAAAGGTGGATTAGCAAGGAGGAGAAATTATGTCAGGCTTTAAACCTACAAAGGACCAAATCACAGTCCCATTTACAAGCTTAAAATCCAAGGAATAACTCTGGATCTACCAACAAACGGATCTACGAACATCCATCACTTACAACTAAATGCTTCCGCGGGAACTACTGTATACACCCATGGCTGTTCAAATTCAGCACTTAAAATGCATATCCCACACCCTGCCCCCTGAGATCCCGATTCATTCGACTGGGGTGGAGCCCATTTTTAACAAGCTCCCCAAGGAATACTGAGGCAGATGGTCCCCAGACCACAGAGCCATTTGTCATTACTGGAGAAGAATCAGAATCAAGAGCGCTACTGAGTTGCTGCGTACATTTCACAAACATTGCTGGGGAAAACACAGTCTAAAAGCAAAACACCACCCGCCAGAGCCCCAATTTAGCATTTGTTCCCACAGCACAGATCAGGGAAGTCAGCAGTAAATGAGTAACATGTTACGTAAGTCGCTTTTCTGTATGCAGAACCTTAATTCACCAAAGACAAGTTAAAAATCATATAAAAAGCAACAGCCCACCCCCAAAACAAATGTTGTGAAAGCGTAGCCAGGATCTCCCCATCTCCTTCTGCCAGGCAAAGATGAGCCCGCCTCTATGCTGAAAACCCCGCTGGCACACACTTGTGCCACTGGGAACTGGATCCTTTGGTGGAGGGGATCAGAGAACGTGGGGTTAGGGAAGGGGGAGAGAAAGACATCCAGGGTTCCACACGGGCATGGACACTGGCTTCATCAGGCTTCCCTCTGGTTGAAAACATAAGTGGAGCCATGTCTTGCTCTGACCCCTTGCTGGAAAGTTCTAGAACCACAAAACCCCCTCTGCCTTGGGTCTTCTCCAAGAACCCCAAACCACTCTCTTTCTCACAAGGATTCCCAGTCTCTTCCTCTCCCCAGTTACCCTAAGACCTGGATAATAAGTTAGTTCTAACTAGAGGGTTGAAAGCTGACAGTGGTTGGGGCATTTATCACCCCAGTGATGACAGAAAAGGTCAGCGCAGGTACGGCCAAGACATACCACCTATATAACACACAGGTTACTCCTTCCAGTGAGCCAGCCTCAGGAATCTTCTCAACACTGACCTAGGGACATTCACTCTCAGTTTGCTGGAGAGCAGATTGTGTCAGAGGGAGCAGTCCCTACCTATCTTTTCATTACTCTGCTCCAAGCACCAAGCATGGAGACTAACCCTTAGGAAGTGCTCAAAAATAAGTAGTGAATGATTTAAACTGACACCTGACATGAACCTTAACTGCTGCCCCCATTATGCCACAGAGCACATCTCAAAATGCATTAGAGTCACCGGGGTCCTTGTGAAAGGGCTCCACCCCAGACTTAGTAAATCAGACTCTATGGGATCCGCATCTTAACAAGGTGCCAGGTAACCTTATACACATAATCTGAGAACCACTGCCTTAACCTTATGAGAGAATCAATCTCAAGAACAACAATACCATCTGATGTGATTCAGCAAAAGGGCCCTCTGGGAACACCCAAAACCGAACAAAATAGAGGCGGGCAGCTTCCTCCTCTCTACCCAGATGTGGGCCCAAGTGGAGTAGAGAACATTCAACGTTGGGGAAAAAATGAGGCCGACAAGGGATCAGAGACGAGAAAGGTGTAGAGAAGCATTATGGAGTTAATGGTGGGAGTTCACAAGGCCACCAATGATGCCAGCAGGCTTGTCCTCACCGATTTCCCCCGGTCATGGGGTACTATAAACCTGATCATGAACCAGGGGGCACCGACGAGGCCCAAGGAAGGAGAGCAAACAGACAGCAGCTCTGCCCCACATTGGAAAGTTGCAAGAACGAGAGGCCCACCTTCATCTAGCTTCTCTGCAAGTCTGGCTCCTCTCCTTCATGCTGCAGGTCTGGCAGCGACAGTCAGCAAACCAGCTTCCCTCGTGCTTCTCCCCTCACCCTTGGGGCAGCCACATTTTGAGCAGGGCAGGGGGCTGCTACTAGCCAGGGTGCGGGGAGTCACGCCCAAGTTCCTTGAGCCTGCACCCAAGGAGCCTCCCCAGCCCCCCTCCCCACGACAGGGAATCCCTCTACCGCCGGCAGCTGTCACAGGAACATCAAACATGGACGCTCGTGCCAGGCCGCATCTACACAAGCCCGCTCCTCCCCGAGAGATGAATTTTTAAAACAAATAGCTTTTATATATGTTACCAGGCAGTCGTGTCAGCATCGGGGATCCCCAGAAAGAAACGTGAGTCAATCTGGGGCAGAGACTGCTAAATAAATCCTGTTTGGGTGAAATTCCTCTCTCTGGAGAAAGAGGAACCTCAGAGCAGATTGTTCAGATTCCCCAGCAAGAGTCCCTAAAAACGCTCTCCCCAGTGGGGCATTCTCTGAGAACCCTGAACTCTGAGCTCACCATGACTCTCACATGCATTTGCCTCCGTCACCCCACCCCTCCGTGAGCAATTCCAGCCCGGCCCACCTGTGGCCCACCTCCCCTCTTCTCACACTCTGGTTCTATCCAGAGCATCAGATGGCTCTACTCTGCTGGGCGCAGGTTGTCCACGCTCATGCAGGATTTCCTGACATCCCAAGGCTTAGGGTTCTGGCGGCAAAAGAGAAAAATGCCACCACATAGACACACAGGTATCTGGGAAACGAGAGTGCACACGTAACTGGTACGGACAGCTAACCTGGAAGATTCAGGCCACTAAGGACTCAGGCAAGAAGCAATTTGCCTACTGAGAAAAGTCAGGTCTGGGAGCTTGAATTACCTGGGTCATTGCCTCCTCTTTCCTTAATTTTGCCTGTGGGGATGCAGGAAGAGGAAGGAATTCCATAATCTTTGCTGTGTGGCTTCCAAGATGGAGTAAAAAGGGGCAAACCAAAAGAATGAGCAGAGGATGGGGTCAGGGCAGCCTTTAGGACCTGATATAGAGATGGGGCCAGATCACGAATGTTAGCGATAGATGAGGGGCAAGAGGCTCCAGCTTATGGACAGGTTTGGAGAATTCCAAGTCCAAACTGGGTCTGAGAAGGAGGAGCAGACTCCAGCGCAGACCCCGCTTTGGGCTACACTGCTGGGAATACCACAAAATGGAAAGAAAGGCTCTGTGAGGTGAGTGCTGCCCCAGAAAGGCACTGGCCCTTGGGGAGCGGGGGGAGTCTTGATGGATGGGGACTTTGAGCTGCCCTCAGAGCAGGGGCTCTAGAGTGGTTCCCATGGCTTTTGATGCAGTCAGGGATTTTTGACCCATTACAGGCCTTGGCTGGAGATCAGGCGCTCGGCCTCCCCACACACAGAGGTGTGTGTAACCAGTGTCAGCCTGTGACCAAGTCCACATGGCCCCAGGGGAGAGAGACTCGGGAGAACTCCTGCCTAGCTGGGGGTCTCACACAGCTCCCTGGGCTGCACACAAAGCCCTCATCCCCCAAGGCTAGGGCCAAACGCAAGAGGAAGACACGCCACATACCGAGCCCGTTCTCTGCCAGCGCCGCATGGCTAACATCGCACTCGCCCAGGTCTTGCTCTCCAACGTCATTCAAATCCAAGCTGGGCTGGTGGGACCCGTTTCCAAAGTTCCTCTCGTCCTTCTCGGAACCGGTGTCCCCATTTTCCAGCCCATTCTGAGCCTTTTTCAGGGGCATTATTTGCAAACCGCTGGGGGTAGTCCTGTAAGATACCGTCTTGGTGGCCCTGTCCCCTCCCGCAGGGGGCTTGGCTGGGTACCCTTTCTTTGGCTTGGACAGAGAAGGGTTGATTCGCTTCCGTTTGTGGGAAGTCCCTTTGCTCTTTCCGGATTCGGAAGGTCTATGGGAGAGTTTCTCAACCGATGGGCCTCGGCTGTCCCGCAGGAGCTTGGAGGCACTGGCCTGCTTCCCTGACTTGAGCCTCTTCTCCTTGGACAGGTGCAGCCCGTTGAATTCGTCGATGAACTCCTCACAGTGCAGCAAGTGGTGCTCGGGCTCCCACGTGTCCTCGGTGCTCCCATAGCCTTTCCACCGGATGAGATACTCCCATTTTCCTTTCTTGTTCTTCCTCTTGTCTACGATCCTTTCAACCTGGGATACAAGATGAGAGTCAGAAAAGAGAGAGAGAGAGAGAGGAAAAACAATCAGTCACAGTCATGAGGATAGCACAAACCCTCGGGGTAGAGGTGTCCGCCCTGGCCGTGGGGTGAGCTGTTCAACACTGGAAGCCCACACTTCCAGAAGTCAAGAAGGCTGGTTGATTTTAGGACATCACTGAATGGGACCAAGGGCGCACGGTCATTTCCCGTGACGACTGCGTGACGCCATGCCCAGCTGGCAGCATCTGCCTGAAACTGCATTGCAAGCTTTCAAGAAAGATCTTTATTCTTTTCATTGCACCAAAGTAGAATCAGACTTTTAAAGACCAATTTGGTGTGGGTTTTTCACCCTTACTTATAATAATAATAACATTTGTGGAGCATCTATATGGTGGGCACAATGCTAATGTGTCCTTACAATAATACTAACAATTACTAACAATCACTGGGCATGTATGAAGCGGACATTATACTAAATGCTGGGCGCGGATGCTCCCATTTCATTTTCTCCAGACAACAACCCAGTGTGGTCGGTATTCTTTCCATCCCCAGTTTACAGTGAGGAAACAAGGACTCAGAGAGATTAAGTCACACAACCAAGTTCCAAAGTGATAAGCGCAGAGCTGGGATTTGAACACTCTCACTCGTATTTATTTTCCTAATCACGAGGCCAGACCAACTTTCTCAACCACAAAAATCTTCCATATTGACCAAAATGACTTGAATCAACAAAGCTCAATTTCCTCCTATTCAGCTCCCCCAGCCGCAACACAGTGGACACAACCACGAGGCGAGGTGATAGGCCATGCTTGTTGACAGCCTGTTATGCGCCTGCATAGCCCCATAGTGTATACACCATTGTCACTCCCATTGGTAGAGGAAGGGATGGAGTATGAGGCAACTTGCCTACAGTGTAGGGCTAGGAGCTGGTGGAACTGAGATCTGAACCTATATCCTTCTGGTTTTAAAGCCATGTGCTACTGTCTACGTACCTTCAAGGTAAGGAAATCTCCCCTGTCTTCAAGGAATCTATGGAAAAACACACTTAGGAAAATGCCAGTCCTGATGCTAATCACTGGTGTATGGAGGTGAAGGGTATGTGAGGGTTCATTTACTATTCTTTCAACTTTGCTATAGATTTGAATTTTTCTTTTTTTTTTTGTGAGGAAGATTAGCCCTGAGCTAACAACCGTTGCCAATCCTCCTCTTTTTGCTGAGGAAGATTGGCCCTGGGCTAACATCTGTGCCCATCTTCCTCTACTTTATATGAGATGCTGCCACAGCATGGCTTGACGAGCGGTACGTCAGTCCGCACCGGGGATCCGAACCTATGAACCCCGGGCCACCAAAGCAGAGCGCGCGAACTTAACTGCTATGCCACCATGCAAGCCCCCTGATTTGAATTTTTTTTAATTAAAAAAATGACAAAATTCCCAATGTTCTACCAAAAAAAAAGCTAAATCTCAACGAAAAAGTAAACAATTCTATTCAAAAGTTTATTATATTTCAATGTCAACATAATATACTTTTCTAGAATGAAATTTTGACCCAATAAAATTAAGTAATAAGTGAGGAATACGCCCTTGAAACTCATGAAAAGAGAAATAATATGAGAGGGGAGAAGAGGATACAGTTATAGTTGATAATTGTTAAAGGTGGGTAATGGGTACATAGGGGTTCATTATATCACTGTTTATGTTTACATGTTTGAATTTTTATATGTTTAAAATTTTCCATAATAAAACGTAAAAAAGTTTGAAAAGTGAGATTGTCCCCCAATGGTTTATGTACAACAGAGGCTGTGCAAAATAATTAAACAACTTTCACTGCTCTGCATTTAATCAATATGTAAATAGCTAGACCATGCTGCCTCTTCATAATATTGCTTCTTCATCGACAATTTAAATTGTTTCCTTAATTGATTTATCTCAAATGAAATTGGCCTATTTTTATTAAAATTTCTTTCCTTATAAAATGCTGCCTGAACATCTGTTTTAGATTTATTACATAATTTTTAGATGTATCACACAAACTCTACAACAGTTTAAAAAAGTAAAACCATGCCAAATAATCCAGCTTCCAATCTTTTAATCAAGGAATGGGGCTCGTTGAGTATTCATCTGTGATAACACTTCAGAAAGTCAAGAGCATTTCTGGAAGAGCCTGCAGCTTTGCACATTTGGAGAACTCTGAAGGAGAAACCCTCTGCAGGTTTACAGAGGGAGGAAAGTGAACAAGCAACCTGGCACTGCCTGAAGTAGCAGCATTCCAAAGAACATCAACCTAGGAGTGTCAAGAGCAAGCCCAGATATTTCTTGGGAGCTAAGGGATCTGTGTTGTCATGGAGGTCTCCAGCTTCAGATAAGCATATGCCTGCCTCCCAGGATCAAAAAACTTCTTCCCCAGATGAAGCAGAAAACCATGTTAGACAAACAGCCAACACAATGGATAGATGGGTGGATGGATGGATGGATGGATGGAAAAATCGATAGTTGAGTGAATGAATGAACATATGGGTGGATAGTGGGATGGATGGATGGATGGATGGATGGATGGATAGATGGATGGAGGCATGGATGGAAGGGAGGGAGGGAGGGAGGGAGGATAGGAGAAAGGAAGGAAGGAAAAATGGGTGTTTGATGGATGGATGAACAGATGTGTGGATAGTGAGATGGGTAGGTGGGTGGGTGGATGGATGGATGAACAGATGGGAGGATAGCGGGATGGGTGGGTGAATGGAAGGATAGATAAATGGACAGATGATTGGATGGATGGGTGATGAGTGAAAGAGTGGGTAGAGAGGTGAGTTCAGGAATGAATGGGTGCTGGATGGATGGCACCCACTCATCAAAATGAGCTTAGTATTTAAGAACACGGGCTATGGAGCAAGACCATCTGGTTTAAATCTCCTGCTAAGCCTTTTATCACATGTTCTCCAGCAAGTCACTAAACCTCTTTGGGCCTCAGATGACTCATCCAGCAAGGGGGAACTAACAGCATCTACCTCTTAGGGTGGTTGTGGAGAATATACAAATAAGTTATTTTGCATTCCATAGTAAAGGTCACTTAATCTTGCATATCCTCCTATGAACACAAACCGTGGTGGTACCTAAAGACAGAATGTTTCCCCCTCTACAGATCTGGATCCCTTTAGGATAATCAATTCTTCCCTGGGAAGAAGAGAGAGCCCACCTTCTTAGATAAGTCCTTCCAAGTGTGGGTGATGGCTATGCAGACCAGGGCTGCTCAAGAAGCCTAGGGAGTCAGCAAGGGTGTGGTGTCTACATGGCTATTTGGAGCCACACTGAGGCCACCCTCCTAGTTACTGAAAGATTGAGTCACAGAGTCACAAGTGGCTTTATGGGGGACAGAAAAGCCACTGCTCCCACCTCTGGTCCCATCCGCAAAGCCGATGGGTGGCTTGACAACTCTTTCTACTTAAATTCAACCAATACCAACAAGAAACAGTAGTTAACAGGATCATCCCTAATAGCCTTGTAGGTAGAGAAAACTGCTGTCCCTGCCACTCTCTATCCACATAACCCTGGGCAAGTCACCCAACCTCTCCAGGCCTCAGTGTCCCCATCTGTAAAACAGAAATAATAGTAATAGCTACCTGTAAGGTTGTTGGAGGAACTGCAAGCAATAAGATACAGGGAAAGCAAAGGGTCTTGAACACCACAAAGCGCCACAAGGAGATGAGTGGGATTGCTCTGTTATGTATGAAACTTCTGTTGACAAAGTTCTTTAATATACATTATTTCCCCCAGTTTAAACGTTGAAAAAAAACAGTTTTTTTCAGGTTCAGAAAAACGATTGCTTTTTCTGAAAGACCGAAATGCCCACAAGCTGCTCAGAGGAAAGCTGGCTCCCAAATATCCCCTTAGACTTTGAATCCGCCGTCTCCTGGGACCTAATCTCCTCCTTTATCTCCCTGCGGGGGTTTTCCGACCCTCCTTCCTCTTCTTCTCAGGGGTGTCTCAAACTGAACCAGAATTCTGATTTCTTGTATTGATAACAAAAGCCCACCTTACGTAGGACTTGATCTTGCGTAGGAATGCAACGTTCTACGTCTGGGAAATTCTTTCTTCGCCCTAAGCACCCCCGACCTCCTCCATGGTCCCCTAACTCCTCACACCTGCTGAAAACAGAGATCTGGGCCTCCAGGCGCTGGCTGCTCTGCTGCTGATGCACCACCCCACCCTACCTACACAGCCATGCACTCCCAGAAGCTCAGTCCCTCCAAATGCAAACCATCATCAATTCCCGTCCCTCGTCTGCCCTGACTAACCACCGCACGGCTGGTATTTAAAAATCATGTGCTCATATACACCCGCCAGCTTCTTTTCCAAAGATAAGCAATCTGAGCCCCTGAACTATTCCTTAGAGTTCAACCAAATCATAAATTAACATTTACTCTCTGTGATCCCAGCTACTGCAGGAGGGGCCAAGGAAATTCTGATGCAATTATCACCAGTGCCACGATGACAAGTGGATGGCTGTCTCATTAGGAATAATAATGATGACAATTACTTTTAATGGCACATGCTAAGTTCCAGGAACTGTGTTAAGCACTTATAAGGTGTTACGTTTCATCTTTATATCCAGGCTTGCAGTTGAGTGTTATTCTCACCACTGGACAGGTGAGGAAGTTAAGGCTCAGAGAAGGTGGGTAACTTTCCCTCAATCACACAGTCAGTAGGTGGTTAGCCAAGACTAGAACCCTAGTTCGTCTGACTCCTCAGCCCAAGTTCTTAGCCCCATGGCCACATCTCACCAGTGGGAAATCATCAGGTTAGCAGGGGACAAGCCCTTAAAGGAGTGAGCCCAAAGTAACCTGTAGTAGCAAATGATGGAAGGCGCTCTGATGTGAAGAGACAGGTGATGTGAGAAAGAAGGGCGGAGGGGGTGGGGTACTTCAAATCCCGTGGGCAGGAAGGTTCCTCTGAGAAAGAACAATTTAAGCTGAGACCAAACTGGACGTTCAGAGATGGAGAAAATGGACCAGTGCCTTTCCAAGCAGAGACAGGTCACTCCCCACCTTCCTCCTCTGCCTTCCACTGGCAGCTAACCAAATACTAACCCAATACTACCACAACCACCTAACATTTATTCAGCATTTACTAAGTGCCAGCCACTGTTGTATGTGATCCCTATAGGTTAACTCATTTTATCTTCAAAATAGTCCAACAAGGCAGTAAATTTATTCTCATTTTTTATAGAGGATAAAAATTCTGCCCGCCTCTGGCCAGCAGTGGAGAGCTAAGACTTGGTCCAGTGCATCTTGGCTCCCATGCTTCCAGTGTCTACACTAGATCCACCTCCCACTCTTGTCCAGGGGTCCAACCTGCCTGACTGACAGCGTATCCGCAGCTTCAGACGCCTCCCCTCAACTCCTGCCGAGGCCACAGGAAACCTATAGCACCTTTCCATGGTTTAGGAAGAGATCCCTGAGCTTGACTCTCATGGGGTCCCCATCATGCCATGTGGGCCTCCCACCCCTTCTGCTCCAATTCTCCATTGGTTCAAATGGAAACAGACTACTCATCAATCATATTCCCTATCCCAGTTTCCCACCAAACAACAACAGTGTATAAAATTACAGTAGCTCAGGAACCCAGGATTACCAATCAAAGACTTTCCAGACTCTTGAAGAGATGCCCCCCACACCAGATGGGGCTGGACTGAGAATCTTTGGGTTACTAGTACATGTCTTAACCTCTGAATGCAAAAAGTAGAGCCCAAAAAGAATAGAGGAAGATCTCCATGCCTGCTGTCCGCCCATACGTACACCAGAGCCGCCGTCCCTAGACATTCCCTGATTCTGGACCTCAAGCCCCAAATGCACAAGGACCTCTCTTTCTGCATCCTTTCAACATCCTGGAAGAGTTGTCCTTGCGGGTGGAAAGGCACAGGGAGTCCATCTTTACAACTTGGGGTACGAAGTCCTTGGGAAGGATAAACACAGGACGAGCTCTGGGAGCACGAGGAATGGGCTGTTTCAGGTCTAGAAGACTGACTGCTTCCGATTATCTAGTCGGAGAAGGCAGTACCAACAGGCGGCACTTCCCGCTCAGTCCAGCAAAACTACACCAGGGAATAGCTGCCAGACCAGGAAATTCGGCTCAGAGCCGTGTAATTCAAGCTAACCTCCGGGCAAGAGTCTGAATGGGGAACTCAGGAGCATCCAAGTGATGAGGGACCAAGAGAAACTTCCACACCCACTCTAGCGGAAAACACTAAGCCAGAGAGACAGCTCTCTGATCGAAAACACACAGACAAAAACAGGTAATACCAACATCATCACAAGACGTATTTATAAAACCCTTTAAAACCTATCAGAACACGATCATAACTAAAAATTTTCAGTAAAATCTAAGAAAAGCACCACTGTACATTTGTGGATAGCATTTGTGTCATGTTTTCAAAGACTGCAGAAAATATGACCTCTGTTTTTCAAAGAGAGGGAGGAAGAAAAGATAAGTGATGAAATGAAACCAACAGGTTGAGAAGGAAACCAAAATGAAAGAAGACTCGTTTACATAAAAAAGGCTGTAAGGAAACCAAAGAAAAAACCTGCAAAGTAGAATTCCCACTAGAACCAGGAAAAAACAGAATCAACATGCAGAAAATCAAATCGGTAATGTAGACAATATACTTGAAAAGCCTTCCAAGAATGCAAAAGAAAAGGACACAGAGATTTTTTTAAAAAACATTAAGGAAAATGAGAATAGACATCTAGGACAGTTAATAGAGACCCAAATAATGTCAGTCTGCCAGAGGGAAAAAATCAAAATGAAAGACAAACACTAATAAGGCATTCTAGAAGAAATCTCTATATCTTCAGTCTGTAGATCAAAAAAAGATCTCAGTGATGGGGAAAGCAGAGGTTGAGAAGAAATCAACTCTATTTCTATTCTTGCAAAACTTCATCACTTCAAAAGATTAAACTCCCTACCCTCATACCCCAACCCTCTGCCATCCAAAATAGTAGGAAAAAAAATCAGGCAGTCTTCAGAGAAGACTTACCGGAATTAAACACTGGAATACAAAAATAAATATTGTAAACTTAAGAATTCTAAAACCAGTCAAGTGGACCTTCCGATGAGAAGGAGGGGGGAAGACATCTCATGTGTTAAGGGGCAAAATATAAACCTCCCATTTAAAAAATGAGCCTGGAGGATCTTGTAGTGCCAGAAAATAAGAAAGTTCAAAAATTAAATAAATAAACCCCGAAAGATGGCAGAACGTCAAAGGAGCCGACTGAAAGAGATCCCCAAGGCCAAAGCTGGGACAATCTGAATAACAAAATAAACAGTGATAGTACTACATTCATAACCCAAAGAATAAAATAAATATCCATGAGTTCACCTTATATAAATAAACGAATTAATTATCAGAAGTTGGCCTTCAGGCCAAATTTGGCCCAATGCCTGTTTTTAAAAATAAAGATTTATTGGAACATACCCATGCCCATTCATTTATGTATTATCTATGGCTGTTTCATACTACAAGGGTAGAGTTAGTTGTATGACACAGACTATATGGCCCACAAAGTCTAAAATATTTGCTATCTGGCCCATTACAGAAAAAGTTTGCTGACTCTGGAATAAAGAAACGAATGGGGAATAAAAGACAAATATTCCTTACAGAAGAATTCCAAACAATCAATGTAAAAATAATAAGGGAAATAGAAAAATCACCATTGGAACATCACAGTAGTAACTGCCACAGGCAAGATCCACAGATGGATGCTAAAATTAGTAGGTAAAACTTTAAAGAGAAATAGGGTATTAGCATAGCCTCAACATACTTGCCAACTACCCTGGTAGTTTTAACAGATGCCCACCAATTGATACCCCTCCCTTCAGGAGGTGGAACCTAATTCCTCTCCTCTTGAGTGACTAGACTCAATGACTCCTTTCTGATGAATAGAGTTTGCAAAGGAAAAAACAGTAACTGTACAGTGGAGAAACCTGGAAAACCTCAGTGGTTAAGGTTACATCACCCGTAACAAATCATGTGAATGTCACGTATGCTCTGATATGATTCACTGAGAAGGGCACTTCCCCTCTATGGTATAATTCCCCAAACCCATAGCCTCTTAAGAAAACATCAGACAAACCCAAATTGAGGAACAGTCTACAAAATACCTGACCAGTACTCCTGAAAATTATCAACGCCATGAAATTCAGGGAAAGACCAAGATACTGTCTCAGATTGGAGGAGACTGAGGAAAGCAATAACTAAATGCAGTGTGGAATCATGGGTCAGATTCTGAAATAGCATTTGTGGAAATACTGGTGAAATCCTAATAAACTCTGTAGTTAGTTCATAGTGCAGCACCAGTGTTAATTTCTTAGTTTTGATAAATGTACACGGTGTAGGATGTAAATAATCGTGAAAACTGGGTTAAGGGGTACACGAGAACTCTGTGTACTATCTTTATAACTCTTCTGAAAATCTATAATTATTGCAAAAGTTTTTTAAAAGTACAATTTCAGGTTATACTAAAACTAAAGAAAAGCATCTGAATAACAGTAACAATAATCATAAAACCTAACAATTTTAAGCACTCATAATATACTTATTTGCTTAGTGATAATAAATAAAAGAATGAGCAAAGATACATCAGGCAGGACCAAATTTTGTAAAGAATATCAAAGTAAAATTTAGGAGAAAATATATTAAATAGGAAAGGAAGATTTTATTAAATTAAAAATACTCACTAAATACATAGTAGTCATGAACTTTTCGCATCAAATAACAGATCAAAAAATAACTTTAAAAAATTCAACAGGGGGCTGGCCCAGTGGCATAGTGGTTAAGTTTGCGCGCTGCACTTCGGCAGACCAGGGTTCGCAGGTTCGGATCCCGGGTGCAGACTGACACACCGCTTATCAAGCCATGCTGTGGCAAGTGTCCCACATATAAAGCAGAGGAAGACGGGTACCAATGTTAGCCCAGAGCCAATCTTCCTCAGCAAAAAAAGAGGAGGATTGGCAACAGATGTTAGCTCAGGGCTAATCTTCCTCACAAAAAAAAAAAATTCTACAGAAAACTTATAGTAACAATTTGAACTGAAGATTTAAACTCAATACTTTGAGACTTAGATCAAGCAGATGCAAAATATGGATACAAAGAATCCGAAATTATATAAATATGATGGTCAATCTAGCAAATACAGCAAATATTTGTACAAACACAAACTTTCAACTGCATAATTTGTAAAGAAAATAAACTCTACAAAATTTAAAGAAAACCACGTATGAAACAATTATGAAAATTCATTAAATAGGAAAATACCAGAGAAAAAACCCTAAGGAATGCCAAAAAGAAGATATTGTACAGACTGTGTTCTCCAAATACATACAATGCTATAATACTAGATGATAACACAATTTAACAATAAATTCCAACCACTTACAAATGAAAAAGAAATGATCCTAAGTAACCATCAGATAGGGAAAATTTACAATAACAATTTTTTAAAAATCAAAAAAATGAGCACACACATATGTCAAAGTAGTTGGGATGCAGAATGAAAGGTGGAAGGAAGGAAGGGAGGGAGGCAGAGGGGGTGGGAGAGTGATTGCACATCCACCCTCAGTAATTAGTGAAAGAAAAAACACTCGGGAAATATGAGGAAATAATAAATAATCATCATCATTAATAAATAAGAAAATAACAATAAATTATCAAATAAATTAATTAAATAAAAATAAATTAATAATTATTAGTAAACTAGAAAACACAAAAAAGCAGAACTCATTGACATTCAAAAACTGGTTATTGAAATAAAGAGCAAAACGTGGCAGAGCAGGCAGCTCCAAAGGCCTGTCCCTCCACAGAAACACTGAAAAATCAAGCAAAAACGTCAGTGAACTGTTTTAGAATTCTGGAAAACAAAGTCTATAGCAACCAAATGAATGCTGACTCAAGAAAAACACAACTTAAAAACAGTCGGAAAGCTTTGTGTCCTTTTTACTTATCCTCCCCCCACCCCCTCCCCAGCACAGCAGCAGTCTAGAATATGGCAGCCCATGTTCCCAGTGTGGAGCCGTGGTCCTTGGTTCTGGAGGAAGCACAGCAGACCCTACCCTCAAAGAACTGTGTTTGTTGTAACTTGTCAAGAGGACCTGAAGGACTGACGTTAAGTGCTTGCTTTTGCTTTATTAAACTTGAAACTTACTCACGCTGGAAAAATGGCTATGCAGAGTCATTCTTTCAAAACAATGTAAGGCAAATGAACAATCTGCTGCCAACTGGGGCAAAAGAGCACAGTTGAGAAAAACAATAGATGCCTGGGAAGAAAAGCTGGGGAGTTTCTTCGGGAAATTAGAGCATTCAAAAATGCCTGTGTATACTGGGAAATCTAGAAAGCTATACGTACGCCCAGGGCAGGAGGCACGCTCAGAAAATACCTGAGTCGCCCTAAGCTTTCACCTCTGGCTGATCTCCAGGCTTAGTGCGGGCAGGAAGTGAAGACTAAGGCAGTGTTGTAAGTGGCCTGGCTGAGCACTGAAGGAATGTCCCGACACAGACCCCGTCTGGAAAGCCTGTGGGGGAGCTTGCTTGCTTGCTTCGCTCCTTCTTTCTTTCAATCTTTGTTTCTTTATACTCCTTTCTTTCTTTCTATTCATCCTTTGTTTCTTTATTTATTTCTCCTGGAATACAAGGAAATCCGTCACAACTAGCTTAACACAAGCTAAAGGAACAAAGATTTCAGAGACCACACATGACAAGGAATACAGACTTTGCAAATATAGTTTAAAAAAGTCTCTTAGCAAACAGCAACAGCTCACAACAAGCAACAAAACAAACTCCGATGAGAGACAAGAGTTTTATTTCCAGAGTTACCACATTATAATAGTCAAACCATCCAGTTTTCAACAAAAATTATGAGACATTCAAAGAAACAAAAAAATAAATGGTCCATTCATAGAAGAAATTAACATAAACTGTCCTTGAGGAAGGACAGACATTGGACTTACTAGACAAAGGCTTTAAACAACTGTCTTAAATATGCTAAAGAGCTAAAGAAAACCATGAACAAAGAGTTAAAGAAAGCCAGGATAACAATGTCTCAACAAATAAAAAATATCAATAGAGACAAAAATTATAAAAAGGAACCAAGCAAATTTGGGAGCTGAAAAGTACAAGAACTTAAACAAAAAGTTCACTAGAGAGTTTCAATAGAAGATTTGAACAGGCAGAAGAAAAAAATCAGCAAATTTGAAGCTAGTTCAACTGAAATTATCCAGTCTGAGGAACAGAAAGAAAAAAAAAAATGAAGAAAACTAAACTGAGCCCCAGAGACCTGTGGGACACCGACCAACAAAGGTAGAAAGATACATATAATGCGAGTTCCAGAAGGAGAGGAGAAAGAAAAAGGGGCAGAAAGAACATGTGAAGAAATAATGACCAAGGGCCGGCCCCGTGGCTTAGCGGTTAAGTGCATGCGCTCCACTGATGGTGGCCCAGGTTTGGATCCCGGTCGCACACCGACGCACTGCTTCTCCAGCCATGCTGAGGCCGCATCCCACATACAGCAACTAGAAGGATGTGCAGCTATGACATACAACTATCTACTGGGGCTTTGGGGGAAATAAATAAATAAAATTAAAAAATAAATATGCAAAAAAGAAATAATGACCAAAAATTTGCAAATTTGATGAAAGATGTAAGTCTACACATTCAAGAAGCTCAACAAACTCCAATTAGGATAAGCTCAAAGAGATGCACACTGACACACAGTACAATCAAACAGGTGAAAGACAAACACAAAGAGAGAATTTTGAAAGCAGCAAGAGAGAGACTCACCACATACAAGGGATCCTCAATAAGATTAGCAGTCAATTTCTCATCAGAAAACGTGAAGGCCAGTAGGCAGTGGAATCACATATTTAAAGTGCTTGAAAGAAAAAACTGTCAACTAAGAATTTTATATCTGGCAAAACTATCCTTTAAAAATGAAAGAGAAATTATGACATTCCAAGGTAAATAAAAACTGAGGTAATATATCAGCAGTAGACCAGTGCTTCAAGAAATGCTAAAGGGAGTCCTCTAGGCAGAAGTAAAAGGACATTAGA